TGTTTGTACAATATACCTTTCACGTTTGAACAACATAATATCACGTTATTACAATATACATAATTATCACGTTCGTACAATATAATATTTATATTGTACAAACATGATAGTATCTTGTTAGAACAATAAACTTTTCACGTTATTGTATTTTTCTTTTGCCTGGGTGGCAGCTCTACGCTTCCGTGTAATATCTTACTTTTTTCAGTAACAATCCTAACATTGGTAATGTGATACCAGCATGAAAGTAACTTATTATCCAACCTTTTCACTGTAGCCAAACATTCCAACTTTACCAGTGTGTTGCTGTCTGACCATGCAAAACTTTGGAATTTGGAAATATGTGAGAAATGTTGTAAAACTTTGTAAGGTTTGAAAAAGTGGATTAACGGTATTAGATCCTTTGTATTATATAAGGCAGGTAATTTAATTTAGAGTCTTTATGTTGTTTCTTTTTGCCACAAAAAACTCGTTTTAACTGGTTTTGAAGAATTCTGACACAAAGCTGTTGAAATCAGTCCTAAAAAGTGAACCACAAGTGTATTATTTTTTACAACGGGGTGAGCAGTCCTTAAATGAATCAACCTGTGAGGTGTCATGGTTTAAGATGATAGCGCTGAGGTCACCACAGTTGTAGTGTGTAATGAGGTCCTCTGTGGTGTAGGAACCTTGGAGGCTGCCCGCTCGAACACCCTCGTGCTGCAGCAGCGTCTGGTTCAAGGCGAACAGCACCTACAGGTAGAGACATGGAAACATACGAAGGGCGCTGTTACTTTCTGCATCCACAAACTCAGTTTCCCCAGTTTTCCTCTGCTGTGCACCCAAGAGGAATTTGCCACAAAGGTGTAGAAATTGTGCAGGGCGTAGCCAGTGTTCCTCTTTAAAAAATATATTGACCTTAATATACAATGAAGCTATTATACTCAGTGTCTGCTGCAGAATACTTATTCTTTTGCAGGGTTTTCATTTCTTTCAGGAAATTTTCATACGCTTTTCATACAAGCTGACTACAGGTAAAAGCAGACCACAAAATGCATGGCAAGGAGCCATTGACTTTTTCCTGAAGGAAAGAAAGTACAGGGAAGAAAGGTAGAGCTGAAGAGATTGAAAGAGAAAGAGGCCCTTTAAAAATAAGCCTCCTTTCTCTTTCACCAGGACCAGGTTGCAGAAAATTTATAGCACCCATTAAAATCGAAAGTAAACCCTCTTTAGAGAGAATTTATAGCGTGCAGCCGCTAGCCAGCCCAAAACCTCCACAGCTGTCCTAGACACCAGGGGTTAATCTCCCCGCTCCCACCCTCTACAATCTCACGCCACTTCTGACTGGCCTGGCAATCAAGACCGACCTGACAGTCAGTGCAAAGCTCTCTTACAGGAACCAGAGGTGCATTTTAAAGAAAACATTTTTTCTTTCCTGTATTGTATCGCAATTCACATAGTTCTACATTGCACCCAATAAGACAACAGTTTCAGCTGATGTGATTACAACATCAACATACCTTCGAACTAAACCAGACTGATCCATGCCTGTGATCCTAATTGCCAAGAAACCTGACTAGTGCTTTGGAAAATACTGCAGGGAGAACGTCAGCATCCAGCCCCAGATGATTTGTAGAGCGGCTTAAGACCGATACAGCTGCACAACTGATTGAGCCCCATGTCCAAATTTTTAAGTCGTAATTCCTGCAATTAAGCAGTGTTTTCGCAATCATATATGCCCATATTGGGCATGTTTCAACTCCATGTAACCTTTACGTTGGGATAATCACAACCAAGCTCTAAGCTCAACCTTGTGACTCTCTCTCCTTCTCTCTGAGGTCATTGTGTTTGCTAACAAGTCTTGTGGGCTCCTTTTCACTTTAATCTGCTTTTGTTTCATAATGCAAGGAGACAACTGATGAGCTAACGGCACACATAACTCTGTCATCATCCTGTTTTTTTGTCTACTGCATCCTCCTCTTATCTCTCTGCCAGGGCCTGATCTCTGTGCCTTTCTTCCTGTTGTATAGCAGGAGTCAGATCTTATATATTTCTTTTGACATGTTTCATCCAGCATAGTCTTCAGCTGTATCCAACACCGAGCTGTCACCCTGCCAGAGGCACATAAGAGTGCCCATTTCAGTTCTGTAAACATATGACTTCGAGGCTTTCTTTAGCTTATATTTTAACACAAGACTTCTCAAATCCAGGAGCCCCACTGCTGCCGTAGTAATGACTCTGTATGACTCAATTTTTGTTTGCATCAGAAGTGAGGTCCATTGTTCTAAACTCCAGGTAACGTTGAGGTGTGATGCCAGACCCAGAGGAGCTAATGCTAATGGAGCTAATGCTAAAGCTAACGCTAATCATATCTCTTAGCATTAGCTAAGAGATATGATTATGATATGACAAGCTAATGCTATGATATGACAAGCTAATGCTAAAATTAGCTTGTCATCGCCAGACAAGCTAATTTTGCTGCTGTTGAAGCTGATTTTGTGCCAGTAAGTTGCCACTGCCCCATGTCCTTGACCCACAGGGCTCTTGGCCAGTAGGTCCTGGCCAGACTCAGGGTCAGAAGCTGGCAAACCTTGCACAAGTGCAAGGATTTTTGCTATGGAGCCAACTTCAATACTTTTCTTTACATAGGACCAGACAGATCTGGACACAACTGGCGAGATGTCAAGACCATGATTGGTTGTGTTGGTAGGGGAGATGTTATTTCAATATTGTCCCCCGGGAAGGGAAAGGAACATCTCTGCAGCTGTAACCATGGTGCTCAAGTTATGTG